AGGATATGACTCTGGCGGATCACCGCTGGATGTCCAGGAGGACCGCCATACAGCGCGATATTTAATAGTTAAAGTCAATTGTTTCAGGTCAACACATCAGCAGAAGATGGACACAGAACTCACTCTGTTGAGGAAGCATTTCAAAGCACAATCACCTTGCTGATATATGCTAGTTTAGGTTCATTAAAGCAGGTTCGCTACAGAATATACAATAGCCTTCTCGTAATGAAACTCAACGTTCATACTCTCGAGAAAAAAAACGACTTGGTTTCGGAATCTAAAGCGTCAAGCGATGGAGGATCAGTGGGTGATCCCAACCCTACGTCGGTTACTTTTAAGGCTGGCATTGAATCACATAGGAAATTTGTACCTATTTTGAATAGTACTACATCAGCAAGTATGTGACCAGACGATTCTTCAAAAATCTGTTTGACTTTGTGTGACATATGTCGTGATATTACCCGCTCACAAGCGTCTCCTCTACGTATAATTGATTGCAGTAATTGTCATTTATCTTCATGTGACTTCGATCATGAATTTGGTCAAACTCTGGAACAAACCGTGACTGACTTCAGCCATTTTGAGTCATCAGGTCCGACCCTGAATTTACATCTGTCTGATTTCACAAGAATGAGAATAGCGAAATCGAAAGATTTCACGGTGCTGAGGCCCTGTTAGACAGATAGGCAATCGAACGCACCAAAAGCCTTACTCGAATGACACGCACGAATAACATGCAATTCATATTAACATGAATTTCAACATACCACAGCACAAAACAATGAACAAAATGTCCAGTGTAAAAATTTAAGTGAATTTAACATCAAAAATCATTTTTGTTTACTGAATATCAGCGCAGCAGTTTTTTGAACACTGATTCAACCCATAGTGCACGATTGCTGTACAACCACAAGCTGAGTGATGCTTCTTGCATTTTGGCTCAATCTCGTCGACATACAATACATATTATGAAATATGACAGGACCTCAGTGATTTAATTTTTTCCTGACCCCCTAAGTGGATGACGAAGAACAGTGTATCAGGATCATACCCAAGTGATGATTTTAATGGGAACTTCAAACTTCAACTTTTGAATAAGTTTACGTAATGGAGTAGCGCTGGTTTCTGTGGCTCAGAGGTCGTTTTTCCCTATTTTCACCACACGCATTCACTCAGTGAGATGAAATGATTAAATAAAACGAACAAAAACAATAGAAATAGGACCGGATAATCACGCAACTTATACAAGCCAAACGGTGAATTCAGAAGACAGCCGTCAAAGGAACGTCATCATGATCATGATCACGATCATCATGGAAGATCATCGCGAAGGACTGTGGTTTCGTAGTTTGGTAGAAGTTACTTAAAAACTATGAGGGATGTCTGCTTTGCCTCTCTAATCTCCACGTTTTCAAAGTGCTCACTTACCAGCATAACAACAGTAAAATTGTCATCATCGTTACTGTACGATCCTCTGATAAGGCCGTGATCTCAAGGCAAGGAATTGCTAAGTTAGCCTAAACACACGATCGAGGCGTCCTATATGACAGGTAACGTGTAGTCTAATTCGATCTCGGTGAAACCAAATTCTACGAACTTCACCTGCGTTTTTTCAGTAGTCGCAATTGGGCAGCAAGCAGTATATTAAATTAAACGTGGACCGAGAGTATAAATAGGTAGACCGTGTTTCTATAAGAAATTAACAGTAAATAACGAGCAGAATTAGAGGAAAGCTTAGGGCTAGATTAAACCTTGGGCAGTTATCAACACAGGATGGCACAGAAAACGCAGTGTGCTATCGGACTAATGAAGCTGGAAAAATTTCATGCAGTTCAAAGTGGGACAAAATGCTCAACAACAAACCCAGCAATTAATGTGAATAAATCAAGTCGTGAAAACAGTTAATATAGAATCGACTTTGTATAGAATTGGATAGTTCAGTATTGAAATTTTTGAGCAGTCACCGAAAGGGCAATGTATTGGTCTGAGGAATAGGGAAACATGAATAATTATACCACGTAATTAATAGATGCTATAATCCCCATTGTCATACGCAACAACAGTATCAGCGTTAACATTGGTGCTTCACATTTGTCTAAGAAATGAAGCAAAAGATAAAGTCAAATGCCCAATTCCAGTCCACCACAAACTGCAAGACGCATCTTTTAACACTTAGTGGTAACTAACAGCACTAGCTTACTAACTAACTAACTAACTAACTAACTAACTAACTAACTAACTAACTAACTAACTAACTAACTAACTAACTAACTAACTAACTAACTAACTAACTAACTAACTAACTAACTAACTAACTAACTAACTAACTAACTAACTAACTAACTAACTAACTAACTAACTAACTAACTAACTAACTAACTAACTAACTAACTAACTAACTAACTAACTAACTAACTAACTAACTAACTAACTAACTAACTAACTAACTAACTAACTAACTAACTAACTAACTAACTAACTAACTAACTAACTAACTAACTAACTAACTAACTAACTAACTAACTAACTAACTAACTAACTAACTAACTAACTAACTAACTAACTAACTAACTAACTAACTAACTAACTAACTAACTAACTAACTAACTAACTAACTAAGAAGCACTGTCGATATCGTTTCGCCTACGCAACGTTTGACATCTTCGGTTCAACAGAACCAACATCTTGAGGATCCCTTCAATCATGACAGTTGGTTGCATCTTTACCTACCAATTTCTACATTTTCTTTGGTTTGCGACATCAAACGCCATTGAATTCTGGACGGACAGTTAGTTGGGATGCGTAACCCATGAAAGCCGTTGAGGTACACCGTGCCGGAGGCGTTCGGTAGTAGTATATCGGTTGGATAAGTTATAAGCTGTCCGATCGAGCTCTCTTGAGCAACGTTCAGGAACCATCAACCTGGTGTTTGTACTGAGTAATTGATCGCCTCTGAAGTAGATCCTCAGGTGGGTACTATTGAATGTTTTGATTTGATCCGTTAGTCTCTGTTTCAGAAGAACCGTCATCTCTGAAGGACGGTCTGCCGTTAACAGGCGTTTTCCGGAATGACGCTTTCTCCTGCAAGCGGTTCGTTATAATTTCCTTCTGGTATCCGTTCTTCGTTTAGAGCTCCCGATGAAGGCGTCACCTCTGAATCAATCGTACAATCTGCGCAGTTCCTGTGAGACCTGTCTGCCGAGCACTTAGTAAGCTTTCGTTTATACTTCATATCCAAAATGCTCTAAAAATGTGTTCACGAACCAGACTATGCTGATTTTCGGCAAACCTGTTCCCGAGGCATTGCATCCTTTTTCGAAGTGACGTGACATCGAGAAACTGTAAACCCTTGTTGACCTATTGCTCCACATTGGTGTTGAGTGCTAAATGCATCGAAATAACGGTGCTCAGAACTACCTCGACTTGAAGAGCGATCGTGACGGTGCATATTTTGACGTGCACTCGGGTAATATGGACTAGCAGAAGTTTTAGGCGAATCTTCGGAATAAGTTCTCTCCCTGCTGCTGCAGATACTCACTGGTAACTATCTTACTGTTTTTCACTCATGGTTTAGGGTCCTCACAGACCATGTTCAACATTTCATCCTTGTACATACTACTCTGCACGTCTAGAAATTCCGATTTTACGGATAACATCCCAGCAGAATTTCTTGTTGTCTGGTAGTTTCTTGAGCTACAGCGTTCTAAAACGGATCGCACGTTCATTCGATGTTTTTCCTTACGTGTTGATCCTGCTGTCACACGTATTGTCTGTCACAATCCTGTCAGAGCTGTCAGCCCTGCTACTCTCAAGTCCCTTTCCGGTAACCGTAATAACTTACTTCTGCCGACCTTCGTCCGCATTTTTGGTCTGCATACGATTTGAAAGCAGTAGAAACAGATTTATTGGAATCCGTCACCCTGCGCTGGATTGTAGGGCTGCCCCGGCCTTTGGTGATTGCCCCGGCAAGTGCTGCTTACTCAGAAATCACTAGTCTTACAGATAAGCAAACCACACTATAGTGGTGGTCAGGTTGGCTAGGCGGGATTACGCGAACATCGCCGGATGTCTACGACGTGCTAGCGATGCACTAGCATTAAATGGAATGAGGCCGAGGGACAGAGGCGCAAACGAGTGTGCAACGGTATCTTGTCGACTGCTAGGAAAAATAGCTCGTTGATTTATTTGGCTGTCTGAGTTTCTCTTTGTGCGTGAATGAGTTGTGCCAAATGGCTTGGCAAAACTGTGACTGATAACGTTTTCTCCACTCAATGGATGCTCAGTCGCGAGATATGAACAACTCTTCTGTCGGACAGCATTTAGTACGCTTCAGGAAATTAACACAATCGACAAGGATCCTTTTGGATTGAAAGGATTTCACTACAAGTATTCTCCTTGAGGTTACTCTGGCCATAAGGTCGACGATCTATCAGATAGGCTTATTCCCCGAAATTCCATCAACCTTCTTTTCGAAGTAAACATGCATGTTGTTTAATAAATCCGTCAAAATTTAAGATGTCTATTCGAATGGCTTACGTGAAACGAGAAGGGATTGTTGTTGCGAACGAAACATGTCAAAAATTATGTAGATGTATACCATACCAAGTTGAGAGTTATATACTTGCTCTCTTTCTGGTATTGTAATTCTACTTTTTATGGTAAAACAGTGATATGTTCTTTTCCTCCGTTGCGTCGTACTAGTTGAGATTGATGCGAGACAATTTTTACGGTTTTTGGCCTCATCCGTACCGTTTCCCCTGAGAGAACAACACAGGTCTGAAATTCCCACGATGAATGGAACAGATGTACATTCCGGAAAATCTCTCAGCTGTGCCTATTTACTAAAATTGTTCGCCATTTTTTGGTGAACTGTCGCTGAAACGGACATCTGTTCTGTCTGCTGTCGTGACGACATGCTTCAGAGTGGTGAAACAAAGCCGGCACAGTTACTGGGTTCGATTAACTTATGTGGTGTGCAGATACTGGACGGGTGATCGGTCCTATTGCTGACGTTCATCCAATCGCACTAGTACATTGTCAGAAATGGACGACAGAGTATCGGAAATGGGAAGACTGGGGAGTTTGAAAATGGATTGCTGTGGCTGTGTCAGCAGTACAAACACCACAGGGAACTGTATCAGTGTATTCAAATGGAGGGTCTGCAAACTAAACAAGTGATGTGAAGATGTCCTCAACCGAACGGTACGTGTAATGTTGACAAAACCCTTCTTAGGACTCAGAAGGTAAAAATAACCCTCAAGTTTGTGGACGACCACCGACTTTGAGTCTAACGTCAGTTCTGGCATTTTCAGAGTGATGACTACATCTAGTTCTTCTGTTGCAGACACTTCCATAACCCAGCTGAGGCGCCTGTTATGTTGGCACCCACTTTCATGGTTTTAAATATCCAGTTCTGTTTGTAAATTCTGTAACGAGGATGGCCGTTTTAAAGGGGTCATCTGGTCGGTTGTTAATTCACTGAGCGGCATACTTAAATAGAAAATTGACTGGAACCCAAAGCCTACCATTCTTAAGCTAATGAGTGCGTGTTTGACAGTGTGTGTGTTTTCGGACAGTCCAGAAGACCGACCAGGAAGGTGGAAAGTCTTGTAGTGGACTGTATGACAAGGCAGATTTGAAACCGCACTGTGATGCTACATTTCCGCGATTTACTTTGGACCACCATGTTTAGTTCTTCTTTACATTTGGTTCTCCAAAACCATTTGACTTCTGACTTGCTGACTGTACGCTGTCTTTCCATGCATTACATTTCCAAATTTGTCTCTCAATTGTCAACACTCCATTAGATCATTTTACAAAAGAACCCAGGTTTTCAAGCCCAGTAAGGACAACTGACGATAGAACATGGCATCAGCGCAGTGTGTCAGCAACGTTAAAAATGTTCTCCGGAAACCACACTACGTATTTCTGAACGAGCTAGTAGCTCAGCTGTGCGAAACGTTTCCGACTACTCCCGCTATCAATCAGTCTTCAACACTCTTCAACACGAGTTGCTTACCGACGAACCATATTCTACCAACGTTTGCTCGCTAAACTAACCAAACTGTTCCGAAAATACTGCAGAGTTTTGGCCCGGTTAACTATCCATTTTCTAGTAGACAATAGTCGTTTGGACTACCAGGGTACACCGATGTGACAAAGGTGTTTACCTATAACTTCGGATGGTAAGAGGACGGACCGAGATACTCTCAGCCGAGCTTCATGTCCCCTGGCTCAGGTACGGCATTGAATCCAACTTGACCTAATATTTTTCCCATTCATTCGCTTGCTCTGCTCATGTACTTCAGATCTTCAATTGTTTTGCTCATCCGTGCCCGCCATTCACCTTGCCACCAAGGCCGCCCCGTCCGACACTGGTGCGTTAGTATGTGTGTGGGTGAAGGTGCGCAGCTGACCTACTTACACACCCGTTTCGTGCCTCGTTTGCTGAGCCTGCTCTGGCCTGCTCTACTGTGACTTCTGTCTAATCGCATCGCGATTCAGAATCACGAGACTGGCTTCGGAACGGACAACTGCGACCCATACTACGACGGCAGGATTGGGCACGTGTTGGTGCCACGAACGTGAAACATTAAGGTTTGTTGCACAATTTTCCTCACTTTTGTGTGAGTAGTGCCGTAAACTCTCGAACCCAGTTCATACCATCGATGTTCGCGATCGTCAAACATACGCGTGACTCAAAGTTCCGTGTCGGGCACCTTAGCACACGTTAACTGGCATACCGCCGCAGACTGTCCACCATCACCGTACGCTTGTAAAGCCTGACAATTGTGGGTGGGAGACAGAGGATTGTACGCTGTGATAACTATTGCTTTCGATGCATTGCACGTAGGATTTAAGATGGTGAAGTAAGTTAAATGGTTTTGGGCAACCCTACTTCATGACTTGATTGACACAAAATATCCTGGTCGTAACACTACCCAAAGCCTGTATGTAGTATACACTGCCTGCCATTTTGTTGATTTATATGTATCGGTAAGTACTGCTTATTGGGCTTTGGCTTACTTTCTTTCTGTTTCCCATCCACAGAAATTGTTTTGAGCCGCTCTTTTCAAAGAATCGCTGTCTCCCAGGTGTTTCCATAGCGTGCGCACTACAGTGAATATTCAATGAAACATTCAATGAAGTCACTTAAGCAAAGGAAATTTGTTTATTTATGGTCTTACCCTGTTGTTTTTATACCTTTTTTACCTTTATGCATGTTTGATGCGCCAACTTCTTTTCTTGCTCCAGTGCAAATTATCAAAGGTAGATCTCACAATGAACCTTCTACACAATTATTTGGTTCAGTGGTCCCTTGCTGGGACGATATCCAACTCCCGGTGGTGTGTGTAGTACTGAATAGCAAGTGGGTTGCAGAGGACAGTAGCCTACCCTGGGACATTACGAGACGGTGGAGCATCTGGCAGTATGTATTTAGTGTTGAAACAAATCGATCAAGTAAATTACACCGCAAAAGCATGAAATCGTTTATTCTGTACCCGCTATAGGTGATTTATCTCGTCCAGTGTGGAACTGTGAATAGTGATTCCACATCAACAGCTACCTAAACCTTTACAGAATCACTGATCTTTAAAGAAGATAAAACACCAAAGAATGGAACCATGTAAGGAATTTTTTTCAAAGAATATGAAATTAATCCCTCGGTTTGTATTGTTGGGACAGGCGTGCTCAGCAAGCACTCCAAGGTCCCCCGAGATTAAAACACGAGCATGAGGGAACCCCGTTGGGTGTCTACAATGTACACTAAACAGATAGCAGAAGGCATTGCTGTAAAGGCTCTTACATGAAATGCCGTATGCAATTAGGATAAGCTGTATGATATGGGCGGTCCGGATAACCATTGGTGCTATTTGAGAAAACACTTAGAGCATGCGGAACATGGAGGACTACTTATTTTTTGAACTTCCAATTCTTTGTAAGCTGGAGCGTCAAGTGGTGAGATCGGACACCAGTATCATGGTCAAGTTTTCCAGGAAGAAATATCAAGTTCATAAACGTGTGGTTTCCAGTTACGAGCAAGCAGGAGAGATGACAGTTCAACATGGAAATGCCCAAACACAGAGCTCTGTTAACGAGGTGTTCGGTTCTATCCCGAACATCTCACTATCAGTTCAGTGCGCACAGAAACCCATTCGAAAACATGCGACGCATTGTGCCAAGGCGTGGTAATAACTGAAACCAGCTCTCTGACACCGTGAGATAACTGAACAAAACAACCATGTACGTTGAGGGCGAAACTCCCGCGCAAGTAAATAAGTGACATGCAAATATGCGATTATTTTGAATGAATGGCTAAGGATGTTGTACATCCTAAACTGTGCTGTTTCAGCTGTAACAGCGGTTATTATCCAATATGGCTCCCGAATCGTACGCTATTCAAATCGAAAGACATCATAAAATCGAAGCACATCTGAAGTGGAGCGGAGAAAATCGGGGCAAACAATTTAGCCTAGAGGTCGAACGTCACACTCCTAATTTTCTTCTAAGTTTTCGTCCAACCGGGTGAAGCTTGCAGTAACCATCGATGAACATCAACTGTTTTTTCCTACTTTTTCAAAGGTTTAGGCTGTTTGTATTCACTACCTTTAGTCAAGTCAAATTACTTGCCTCAAAGGTTATGGGTCAGAGGTGGCCAATCCCCCAGTTACAGGGGACTCCATCACCTTGATGAATCTATATCTTCCGAAAGACTAGAAACACACTCCACTTTCAAATTTTTACCCTAGAAAGAAAATTATTGAACGCTTACTCACTGTTTTTCTTATGTGAAAGCTTTATTCATACTAATACTACTAGTCCAGCTGTAACACTCTTTTGGTGCCTAGCTGCCACGTTACATAAATAGAGCAAGATGGCTGAGATACTACCAGTCTGCCCATGCATAGAGAAGAGCAGTCGAGTTGCTGAGGTTAATTTCAAACAACAGACCTACCCGTCAGTATGTTTCCGCCTTATGCACTGAGTTATCTCGGGCTCTTATCAAGTATGGCCAACTGTGACCAATATACTCGACCGGAAAACCAGTGGTGTGCGTACCCGAACAGTGGGACCCGTATGGAGGACAAAAACCTTAGACAGGTATGATACACCTGAATATGCGCGGCGAAAAGACGAATTCAGGGAGCGATAAACTCGACGGTTATGAAAAAGTTGGGGAAGGAAGTATACGAGAACTCAATGATATTAGTGGAGTTCATCTGGATAAAAAGGCTCACTACAGTTAGCTGAGAAAAGCACACCCTTAGGCAATTCACTTGGAATTAGGTTCGTGGCGGCAGATGACAACAGAGTGAATGCTATCTTACAACTCGGAACTACAAAGGACGTGTCTGATTGCAATCATCCACTGAACATTAAATGGAGAAAATACTCTTCTGCTTGTTGTTTTCGAACTATGCGACCCGTGATAGATTTGTGTTCGGATGATAAGCAGAGGACCAGGGATTCATCCACACCGATGAGGACCGAATTTGACATTCAGTTTGAGTAAGGTATTCGGCGGGAAGTATAGAATAATACACGGAACCGTTGGACTACAAGTGTCTTCAATAATCGGTGAAAAATCGTACTCTCTCCGGCATGCTTGCTTGTAGAAAAGAATTTCAACGTTTCGGATGGTGAGAAAGATGTCCGATCGAAATGCATGGAATTCCATTGTAGACTGTCGCGAAAACTCTGGAAAATGCTAATTTTGCTTTAAGGACCCACTGTTTGAAAATTACTGTACATTATTCATCCTCTCTGAAGTGCATGCCGTCACGTTTTATGCGTGCTTCAAGAAACAGATTATTTCATCGACTTTGCAAGTAGTATCTAGTGGATCAACTTTGACTGAAATGTTCGATTCCTCCATCACTGATAGAAGACAGACGATCTGTTATACAGAGTGAAAGGCAAGAAAACAATCGTCGAAAAGTTTATCGATTTCACATGACCGCAGTCCGTGAATAGTCTACTCCTATTCTACGTATCACACTGAGTGGTTTATCCCGGATCAACTGTTAGTCAGCATGCTATCAGTCCAGCTGACAGCTATTTTTCTTGGTTTGCCAAGGGAGGCTGCCAACATCCCAGGCCAAGTACAACCATGGAGTGCACATTTACAGATAATTTCATGCCACATCGGCCGTCGCGTGATGCCATTAGCCTAGACGGCAGTGGCGTTTTCGTGCTCGCATTTAGTGTTGCTGTCATTGATGATGACGCCGATGAGCTTGGGCACGAATTAGTTAATTACTTATGTGGCTGGTAAGGCTTGGCTAGGGCATCGGGCGTACCGCGGGGAAGAGAACTTAAGAAAAAGCGGCGTGCACATTTACAATTTCATGCCACATCGGCCGTCGCGTGATGCCATTAGCCTAGACGGCAGTGGCGTTTTCGTGCTCGCATTTAGTGTTGCTGTCATTGATGATGACGCCGATGAGCTTGGGCACGAATTAGTTAATTACTTATGTGGCTGGTAAGGCTTGGCTAGGGCATCGGGCGTACCGCGGGGAAGAGAACTTAAGAAAAAGCGGCAAGTAAGTTAAACTCAAATCTCTGATGTATTCTTCATTAAAAATTCATCTAAAAATGTCAAGTTTCGCTCTACAACATTTTCTCACTCAGCAGAAGCCTAACGCTTAAACATTCAGATCCAACGGTGTCGTGATTGGCTAACAAATATCAGATGGTGACTTCATCGTCTAACTAAGCTCAGAAATCCAATTTCAGGCATGAGTTCGTCGCAGGAGAATATATGCGAAAGAGTAATTTTCCCAGTGCTACACAGATGTTGCCGGTTCGATACGTTTGGTAAGAGCCTTTTAATCCTGTCTGCTAATGGAGCTGTCTTTCAGTTCACAGTGAACCATTTTTCACAATTCTCCATTTATTTCACACTACCTCCAGCCCGGTTGACAACAGTCATCCATCAGATGGATTTCGAACAGTCGAGAGTGACAGTAGAAATCTTCATCTACCAGTTGGGAACTCGTCTTCGGTCGCTCGGTCGTGCGTCGTGTGCCTGTTTTTCGCTGGCTCACTAAACATCCCAAGGTGTGAATTTCTCACGGGCACGATTATCTGAGTTTGGGTACAGATGCACCCATTTTGCAGCGGAACGGTCACTGAAGACTGGGACAGCTGCAGCTCAGAGCCTCTTAATATCGCGAAAACTTGTCTTGTATTGGACGCAGTACTTCACTATCTTCTGGCAGGAGAAGGTGTAAATGATGGCTTTTCAGTGTGAATTGTGCATCCAGACTAAACCAATCGGATTATGGAGCCATTTCGCGGTGGATTTCCTAGTGATGGGTTCTGACAGTACATGACTATTTCATTTTCAGTACTCATCTTTGTGAATTTGATTGCCGATGATCTACTGCTGCCGGAACGAGAAATCGCCCCCCGTGTGATCTCCGCCATACCGGATGGTGTGGAACGTACCTATCTCCAGTCTAATTGCAACCGACTCTCCTTATGATTATATGTAGTTGGTCGGTCTGAAGAGCAGACCTTCCGTGTTGGACTTGAAGTGCACATAAGCAGCTTTGAGATTCCGCTGGAGGGTGCTCCGTGGACCAAGGCGATATGGAGTTTTAAGTCGCTTATGGAAGGCCATGTTATAGTAAAACGTGACGCAAGGCTACCCAAAAGACCAGACGTGCCAAACATACGTCACTTTTATTCAATGCTAAAAATAACAAGGAAAATCGATTATTCTGAACTATTCACCGCTTATGACGTAAATAACAAGCCCCTCGGACGAGACACTCTTCAAATTGTTGACGTTTTAGCCAGGACACGTGTGTCTACTTACATCTTCCAGCGTATTTAAATCCTCTGAGTAGTTACTGGTGTTTTTTTTCGGAATTTGTATTCGCACCGCACTTGGAGGAATAATCCAACTCTCCCGGCGATTACCTTGTCCCGTCCAATCTAGAGGGAAAGCGCCCAAACCGGATATCTCCTTTATTTGGGTCCACTTCTGGAGCACAACTTTGGGATCACCGATGTCCGAAATCCGATCACATGTTATGCGGGGAAAGTGCTTTTGTTGTTAACGCACTAGTGAATTGCGGATATCGATACCTTTGTCTTGAACTAAGAATGAGTGACTAGTTTCCCCCCCCCCCCATTCTGTATGAATTTACAGCATGACGGGTAAGTCTTCGCGGAGCGACTGACGGAAAGAGAAGCTGATGCTCACTGGATGAAAACATTGCTTTTGTTATTCAGGTTTGCGTTCATTCTGAGTAAGCAGTGAAACGGGATAGAATCGTTCGCATGCATAAAATAACTCAAAAACTTCTTTCATCTAATAGGAGTCAAAAAACATTAACTTGTGAGATATTTCGTACACACAGATATATGACTGCGTACAGATGTGGAAAAAATGCAGTAGTGCAGTTTTAGCAAGTCCTGTTATGGAAAACAATGTTCCGTGTGATAAAATTGCTACGTGACTTCACATGAAGTTAAAATCAATCAAAATACGTTACTTCCCGAATAAGCGTGGAGATGAAATGACAGAAGTATTCATTAAAGTGCAAATTTTTGCAATGCAGTTAGGGAAACGCGGTAGAAATGGACTGTTCTGAACCATTTGTGTGGTTGAATAACGAATGATCTGATGCAGCTTAGGCCAAATGCTCCTTAACTGATAAGATTGGACAACAGGCGTTTTGCCCTTGTCGACCAGATAGATCCGCCCGTCTTGATTCGAACCAGCTGGCTACATCTAATGAATTTGGTCTCAGGTTTTCGAAGTAATCATACAGACCTTCAAACTGTTTACAGACTCTATTGGTGCTTTGTTCTGTGGGGGGGGGGGAAATAGTTTTCATTTATGAGTTTCAATACCCTAATTGTACAGTCAGCGATAGTAGTAGCGAATTTTGATGCAGTACGCGCGTTGAAAACGAGTCCACAAGTTCTTTCTGCTTCCTTCGCATTTTTATGGAATTGACCAGTCAGCAGCAGCGGTCAGATTCGTGAGCAAGTGAATTTGAGATAGGATGGAGCAGAGAACGGGCCTGCATCAAGCCTATTTTTAATGCATCGGTGTGTATTACAGTGATTCATTGTGGTCGCAAAATATCACCACCACCAGTACGATGGCAACTACAAAGAAATGTGAAATCTGCAAAACCTTGGTAAAATTTGTCTCAGATGGTCAGTGTTCTTGATTTGTGACAAACCGCTTAGGAGAATGTAACCAAACAGAACAGGGAAATCCTTACTTTGTGAGATTTATTCCAATTTACTGTTGCACTTACTATTACGAAAACGTTTCTTACTGCTGTCCTAATCGACGTTATCAATCGACGTTGATAAAAAAAACTCGTTCACTACTATTGCTAGCCACTTGTAACAGCTATCCTGGTTTACTACGCGTCCGTTTCATTGTATTCTATAAATGTACGCCTAACGATTTCAACCTCTCCACTGATTTCTATTCAGGCCCTGAAAGATTCCAACCTCATTTTGCCATTTCGGTAATCATGTGAAATTCCCCCGCCCCGATCCTGCTCAAATATAACATGACTCCGTGAACCTTTGTGTCATCGCATTTTCTCGCAACGCCAGCGGAGTAGCTGTTGGGCTCCGATCGGAATCTCTGTGTACAAGAAATCACGGTCATTTCCATCGAGCGATACAGCAATTTAAGTTGTTCGATTGATCTACAATTTTCGGTAATTTCAAGACTGACTGTTAAGATGCAAAAAGAAGCGTACGACCATAAATAGAAAGTTGAGAACAAAAACGCAAAGGAAATGGAAGAACTAAAGGAGATGAAAAATTTACATGACTAGCAAATGATGCATCCATCAGACTTGGAATTTCTGCTTTGAGAATTTGCCTAAGATCGGTAGATTTTATATGTGGATGATCTTGTACATAAATTCACGTTTGTACACCGCAAGTAGTGTTCAGCAGGGCATCTGTTCATTTAAGGGTATTGTGGGTGGAACATGTCTTAATGGACTGTCTCAAGAAGATATCGACAGAAAATTATGTGTTTTGCTTTAGTCGCCTGTCGGAAAAGTAAACAATATGGTACCCGGCATTGAATGAATGCAAGTGCACCGCCTTATGATAGTACATTCACCTCAGAAATCAGTTCAAAACAGCAATTGAACAATATGAAAAACCGACGTGTATGGTGTTCATAAAATTTCTGATAACCAAATCAGAGGCACTAAAGTCAGAACGCTGCCTTCTAACACAACACGACATGTGACTTTTAAGGACTTTCCGAGATGGTTGCCATATTTGGATGTGCACATAATCTGTGAACTTAAATAGGTTCAGCAGTGGTCAGTAAGCTCCAGTGTCCTTCCTGAATAAATGACCACCTCTTGGTACAGAACATGTTCTACATTTCGCTATTCCTTGTGTTTGGTCCAAGGGCACTGACCCTGAGATTCTAAAAGGGCTAAAAGGCGATGAGAATGAGGCTCCTTTAGACACTTCGCCCTCCTTGGCGAGAGCTCTTGCCATCTTTTCGTCATTTTGAATCTACCACTTTCGTTCAACAAGAAGGGTGGAGCGAATCCTCCGATGGCAATGCACGAGGTTTTCGACGTACATGTTCATGACCATATGTAATTCAATCATTTTTGAAGTCCATAAAACAAGCCTTCTTCCTCCATTTTCCAGAATACCATAAATCAGAAAATTTACGGCATCGACAAACTTATACTGACCTGTGCGCGAATTCAAAAAGCTCTACTTCTCTCAATTACTGGTAGGAAAATTTAGGTAGAGCACCAGCTGGACAAGCTTCAAACAAAGGACTCACCCTTGACTCACGTCTGAATAAGTAGCAGATTTGCAGAGTAAAGCACGCCGAATAGAGACTTGATGCCCCCTATACGAACCGCTTACAGCGTAGCTCAGTCGGCTTTAACGCGGTTCCAAATTAGGAAGCCTATTTTCTCTGTAATGAAAGTGATGGACTGAGATCTCGCTGTTTTCATATTCTTACAAGATGTGATATTTAAAATACCGAAATTCATAATTTTTCAGCCAGCTGAATTCGTGATAAGTACTTGCGAATTTTCGGGGCCAATCAACAACGAAAGAATCTCGGACACATCTAATAGGCTTTAGTTCGGACAAAGAGTATGCCTACTACAAATTAGTAAGTAGCTCGCCATAAATGCCAGCACCATCTGGCGCATAGGAAAGAAATCTGATGTAGTCGGGTATCCAGTTGTTACACCACCTCAGGCAGTGTCAAGTAAAGGCAAATATTCTGTATCCTTTTAATTCACTTTACTGATATTGAATTATTACGTTAGTCGGTCAAATAGATGTTGTACTCCTTTCTACTGATCGTCCACTTATATCTATCAATGCTAAGACGGCAGCCTTATTGTAGCCGTATTGTGAAAACCTCAGTCGGATGTTTTTGCAAAGTAGTGTGCAATAGAAGCCATCATGTGATAATTGGTGCAAAAACGTGCTCTGTCGTTTGGAGCTTTGCCGCTTATCAATGTCCGCATTGCAGCAACTGTTGTTTTTCATTCTTGCTCATCAGTTGAGACGCATGTATGTGGACACAGTGCTCACACCATTGCTTGTTTTAGTGCCTTAATCGAAATAAGATTTTTCGATATCACACTACTTCTGATTCAGAGGATATCCAATCTCGTAAGTACTCTAATTCGCGGCTATCCCCAATTGTTTACAAACGGCTAGGGGAAATGCTAAAATGCGAACTAACAATATCCCCACTCCATTCCTGGTAATTGTGTCTCCTTGTCTGCTCGCGACCTAACAGCAACGCAACTCTTGAAGGATTTTATTCAACAAACTTCGGCAAATGATATCCTTTGCTGCCTGCGAGGTAAATGAAATTTCATTCACATGGGCCCCCGGGGGGTAAATGAAATTTCATTCACATGGGCCCCACAATGAACGGACTCCATCAGGACGTGTCTCCTTCTACATGGTGTCCGCAGCTAACACCCTCCAATACATAGCCGAATGTCAGCGAATTCTAACAGGTTACATTCTAACGGAATCCTCAGCTCTTTATAGCAAATTCGTACCGCCGCTGAGCCAACCAGCGAATCTTTTATTGCGTTAAATACTTCCATGGTTTATCCGAACGCACCTAGAAGTAAACCGTTAATTCCGATAGTAGCTTGGCTTGCTTTCACCGTTTCAAAATAACATGGGAAACGAAACGAAAGGTAGAAACATTTAGACAACTTCAAGAATGGTATAATCTCAAACAGCAGTCGGTCACATGACCAAAGTGGCAGTTCTCAGCATATCGGTTGTCGGCCAATTGAGTATTGTTCCCTTAGTTCACCTATTCTGGATACAGAACTGTGGCTTTCCCAGGCAGATTGTGATAGATTCAGCTGCATCTTGATCGGCTGTGTGGGGTTCGGTATGTACGACTGACCGAGTTGACTTGGTTGACCTAGTGATCCGCTTCTGCCCATTCTCTTAAAGGTGAACCGTTCTCCTACTTTTGAAATCAACTTCTCAACTTCTTAGAGTAAAGCTTTTTATTTTATGTGTTAGTTGTCGAATCGTATAACCAATGTTTTTGCGCGCATTCGAAAACAGATAACCTGGGAACCCACTGGTGGTTCGTGGATGAACGGGTTGCACTTTGAATGTGTATTGGGCGTTGAGTGGATGTAGGGTGAAGGTTAGAATGTGTGGTGTTCTTAAATCCTATTTATTTGGTTTTAGATCCAGATTGTGAAGGATTCTGAGCGCAAGTTGCATGACTGACTGTAAGGAACTGTGTGGTTTTTAAGGGCATTTGAGTATGCATAATTTAGACAGAAACGAACTCGAGTCCTGTATTCGCGCCAGCGTCTTCCACTTAGCTTCATTGTTTTTTGGGTTTTCAGCACCGTCGAAAGCTTCTTGTGGGTTATAGCAAATCTATTCGGCTTGGTGACATGAGGCATGACTCAGCTGCTGACTAATGAAACCACTGATTGTCCTGCTTTTGGGAATGGCATCACCGTAAGCTTGTAGAATTGTCACTCTCTGTTCCATATGTTTTCAGCTTTGAATGCAGTACACAGTGTTCCGAGCGTAACCAACCAAATTGTTTGTGTTAGAACGTTTGATCCAGGCAGCAGTGGACAGAAACAGGTTTTCACCCGATACTACTCGATTGGTTTGCCCACGTTGTTTACAGTCCACGTGGAATGTTCGTCATCTTTGACACTTGTTTCATATAGTAATGCAATCCAACTGAGCTAAACTCGATGATATAGATATCTGGGAAAGCTGTGAACAAGGTGGTCAATGACCACTGTCGTTAAACTCACTGGGCCTTAAAAAACTGAATACCGGGACTTTTCGAATCCAGTATTATTTAACTAGGCCATAAACTTTATTTATGCTTGAACCAGAAAGAAAACACTTGGAAGACAGGTCGGGGGCTAGCGTTTCGGCTCATTTACCCGTTTCGAGACTTGTTACTGACTTCATGGCCTTGTAGAACTAATATTAACAAATGTTGGTTGTTTAGGATGTACGGTGGTTAAATGCCAGCAACACATACCATTTGCCTTAAATCTGGATAATTTTTTCAAACACCCGTTTCTCAAACAGCAGTGGAGACCCCGCTTGTGTTAGAACATTATCCTGAATGAGTGTCAGAAACATAATATTCACGATGAGGGTTGAGTGCCTGTCGACGAACATTTTTGTGGCCCGTATGGATGATATGATCTCCTTTCGTCTAAAGCATCCGCGCAAAGACAATAAAACCACAGTACCCACGAACCATGGGTGATCTTCTTGAAAGAGAAAAATGCGTGACCCTTCCTTCGACGAATTATGCCATTGTGGAGCCAGCCAGTACAGGACCACGTGACGCAAATCGCGTAATTAAAGGACTGTGGCACTGTATCTCACTGACATACAAGTTACTTATATCGCTGATCAGCAGCTCCCGATCAAATGACGTGCTGTTCAACTAACCGGATGGATACGAGTTTGAGTCGCAATGAGGGTTCGTGAAGTTCGTACCGCTGATAATTCCCACAAGGATAAAATGATTCCACAGAGTCCCTCGGATTTTCATTACAGAATTAGTTCGATCGGAAGGATAAAATCCCAATAACAGTAGAGCGAACACGGTCCTAAACCAACGACAACTGATCATTTTTGTGCGACATAAAAACTGGTTATTTTGCTTTTTCCCTCAAAACAAACAATCATTGGGGCGGACGAGTTTTAGTTCTTCAAAGGGGGCAAAGAGGACATCACACAACTGGCAGCATGCTGTTAGCCACCTAACTCCACTGTACAGGTCATATTGAGTTATTTTTTCAGCTTTTATGACGAGTGGCCATAAAAACAGTGCTAGTCAATTCTTGCTAGAAAAAAGACCGTGGTTGATTGGTTTTTCTCTAAATAGTGCGCATGATCTCTCGAAACTGATGAGGCAGGTGCCAAGGTGTATTTGTAGGCGATAGGTTTAGGTTAAAACAATTCCAATTGATGGGGTATATTAACGGTCTGGACCGTAGCTTTGACCCCGGAGTTGAATTGAAGAGGAAGTCTTCCTTTAACTAGAAACGTCCGTACTTTTAGCCATCAAACCACGTGCTCGGTTACGGTGATCTTTTCTACAGAGACCCTCCATCTCAAGATTCTTCACCTAAAATCCACCAGAAAATCGCAGTTCTCTATCATCTGATGCCTAAATTATCTATGACATACTTTAAAAAAGACTTATGCGAAGACTCGTTTTTCGAAACATGCAATGTTCATCCTGCCTGGAACTGTCAACGCACCTGAAGGCGTCTGTGTGTGGTTCGAAAGCCGATCGCCGAAACGGTAGTTCACGACCTCATCCATTTGGCCGTTCAGAGCCATCTGTGATCTGATGTGCAACTGAGAAATTTTTCATACAGCAACTTTTGCCGTGAAACTGACAAAGGCTAATCAAAGTCCGTGGCACCACTCGCTAAATGGGGGAACAAGTACACCAATGTAGCGACAAATTCAGACAGTCGTGGACCTAGCATCGTGGATCGAATTGTGATCACTGGTTATGCGGTGCCTATGAAGACCCCAATCAATCTCGATTACCATAGAAATATTCTGAACATCTCAATTAGTGGAGTTTTAGAGCTAGCGGAATTCAGGTAAACTCTTGACAAGAAAACAAGTTTCGCAGAAGATACACCTGCAAATGCTGATACGGTTTCCGTGCTTGCATCTTGGTTAATTTAAAGCTGTCATCTTGTTTGACCGCAACAGCCTAAGAAAAACCTCCAACCCCTGTACCTTTCAGATTTTAGTGAGATTTTAGCAATTCAAGGATACGCACATCCTCAATTAATCAATTATAAGACTTGACCTATCCTATGCTACCTGGGACAGAGCCCAGTAGCCTCAACTTTTGAGATTTGCGCTGAGTCTGATTTTAGGGGACTTCAGTGTCCCCAAAGTATTATGTAACTTTGAATGCAGAGATATCCAAAAATTTAGAAATATGAACTCCCTTCGGAAACTAAGCTCTTTGTCACGAACCGATCTCTGATAAGAATACAGTGATGTCCTGTCACTCGGAAACAAGTCAGTAAAATGAATCTATAATAATGTATTCAAGATGGGAAACTTTTCAACCCAAACCATCGAAATAAAGTATATTTTACTGCTGGCGAATACTTATGTTTCAGAAACTAATGTCCAGAAATTTCATAAGGTGACAGTCAAACTACATGTGCCTCCGAAAGCGCTGTGGTTTCTGGAGGAAATTAGTACACAAGTTACAACTGTGATCCCTTTGTTGAATACATTACTGACAGAATTTAAGTAGCGCGAAAATGCGAGAATATAGATGACGGGATCTCTTGGCAAAATGGGTTTTGCTAAGTGTATTTCTGCTTCAGCCTTGCCAGATGATGCACACAACATACCCCCTATTTCTGAGAAGAAAATCAGCTTATGATCAGTTATCACGTGTATCATGTTTGGAAAGTTTCCAAACACTGATACCGCAAGGATCAGAAGGGTTGTTCGTAGCGTAGACATTATATTGCTGAATTTATCGAAGCTCTTGCATATCATGCAAAAAGTGAAAACTTGAAGACAGTAGATCATTAAAACCTAGTAAAAACAAGTTTATTATGGTTATATTGAGATCATCGCCCTGAGCTGATTGGATGATTGCGCGCTACTCAAGCTCGTAAGATTTTTTGAAGCCCATCGATTTAGGTCCAATCTGACTCGTACTGATCCAGGTGTCTTTTACATTCTTGTATTTTGTCACAAAATTTATGATTTCAAAGGGGAAGTTCTGAAGGACAATCTTCGTTTGATAATCGGTGCAATCTTTATCGAGGTTTGAGTGTTCCCCAATTTGGATGGCCTTTTTAAGTTATGGGAGCTGTCCAGAAAAATTTATTCCTACCTGTTCACTTTAGGAGCAACGCAGGAACACATTGTGCAAATGAAGACCGGCGGTCGGTTTGCTAGAGTCTGTCCATCTGATCTGTTTCACCAAAGTGGTTTTATACATCTTTTTTAACGGTGCATTTTGTCTACATTCCGGTGCTGCGCGGACTCTGCTTTGGGTTCAACCAACGGGCTTTTTTGAAGGCAGAGCTGTAGGGAATTCACTGGATCCCATAGTTGATTTGCATACTGTGAACAGTAGGGCAGTTGAACGAAGCGAAGGAAGCCTCTTAGACACATTCTATCGCTTAATTTATCTCCGGAGTCGAACCCGTAAATTTGTTTGACAGCTTCTAATTCACTCGAGTAACACTGGGGAAAAAGACGAACACGCTACCTACTCACAACGAAGTGTTATTATCTGACCACACGATTTTCAATGCTAATTCAAATAACTTGAATGTGAAAAGATTTTATGCCTCGATTGTCAAAGTATCGATACCTCGAACCCGATTTGACCTAACCTAATTGCAATGCTCATTACAGGAGATAATTTTAGGCTCTTGTGTTTGTGGGATAGCTCTCTTCGGTCGCGAAATCTACTTCGTTTCGTTTGTGTGCACTCATCCTATGAAGCTGGTACAAACTGGTTGAGTTTCTGGATTAATTCCGTCACAAAAACAAATACGCACCTACAGAAGTCGGTGACCGACTTGACTTTGGCTGGAACCTCCACACTGTCGCATTGGTCCTGAATGGCCACGTTACCTGAAGGCAGTGCCTAACCCATACATTATTCCTCCCGTCAGTTGGCCATCTACATAATGATTATCACCACCAGTATCATCAGAGACAGGAACATCAGTGTTGACGCTGGTGGTTCAATACAGTAAGATTACAAAGTTTACTTTATTGTATCTAATCCTTAAAATGAAGAGATGACAAGGCGCCGTCGAGGGAGGAAACTGTTTCTAGCCAACTATAGGCATTCTGAGGTGTCTGAACCTCCAAACACTCAGTCGGATATTTGTGGAAGAAACGGACAGCACAAACGTAACTAAAAAAAGAGATTAATTGCTATTAATTGCAAAGTCTCCAGTCAGGCAAAAAGAGGGGCGTCATGAGTACGTCAACCTGGTGGGCGGACCACACCATCAGCACCAGAACTCCTCGTAATCTCTTTCACGTCATTCTACTAAGTCAAGCTTTATCTACCTTGCAGTTTACTTCGTTCTGAAAAAGGCACGGAGAAGAAATACATCCCGGTAGACGATGTTTTGGCACACGTGACATAGCCGAGCCACTATAACTGATGGTGTTGGATGTTTTCTACGACTGGAGTGCCTGCTGCACAACCACAAGCCTGTTTTAAGTTACTTCGTTACCAATTCATAGACGCCATGCGATATCACCAGCACTTCTGATGTATCGGTAGTCGAAAAGTTTAAGACATCTTACTTCATCTGGCCATGTCTCGCCACCATAAGGCACTGCATGTGGTAGCCCGGCTTAGATCTACTGATAAGCAACGTTATTCGAACCTTTGAGATTCATGCACTGACTCAACCAGACACATTCCCGTCAAATATCAGATGCCGAGGTATTAACATTCGCCACCATTCTCCTTGAATCGTATGGCATATTTTCAGTGACTACATGTTCTGAAGAAAGAATCTGCATTTTTTAGGTAAAAGGTGCATGTCAAAAGATGGTATGGTGGTGTTCAGTTTATTCAATCTTCGTCTTCAAATAGGTAAACGATGTTGTCTGCGTATTCCAGATCGACAAGTTTGAACACCGAGGTTTTGTAGACTTCTCAGCTTTCTCAGTATCTCATCGATGTCGTAGTTGAACAGAAACAGAAAGCCAGCATCCTTGTCGGATACCACCTTTTGTAGGGAAGCTTTCAGAAGGCTCGCTGTACACTCCCCTACGCATCAAAGTATGTGAATAAAAAAAGATTAGACTGTGCTGACAGCTTTCTGCGGCATTGCGTGCCGAGCAAATGTAGTTAGAAGCACTGATCGATCGACAGAATCGAATGCGCACATCAGTTTGTAAGCAGCATACTCATTTTGCAAGTGATCATCGGTTCAGTTGCTGTGTTCGGCGATTTTGCATTCGATGAGTTGGTTTCCTCAAAAGAACCAGGACTCGAGTCACATGCCGACACTCGTTGCGGACGCTGACTGTTTTGGCTTTTCTGAATTCTGTTTTTGTATTTATGAGTCATTAACTGTTGTTGCCGTATTCTCTCATACAATTACTGTGTTTGACAGCTTTTATGAGAATATCGTCAATCGTTTCGAACAGTTTCTCACGCATTTTCCATGCTGGCATACACAGGTTTAGCGGTATTTTTGCTGTTTTGACAGAATATATACACCGAATCTACTGATGAAGTTAAATTCGTATGCACAGAACTCTTCGAAATTAGAGTCACGGGACGGGATTGACTTTTATTCCATGAATACCACGTTTCTTCATAATTATGGTCTGCGCACAGCCTCTTATCGCGCGGTCGAGTTTACATCCTTGTATCAGTTTCAACATACAAGGATGTGGTGAAAACTGGTTCGGTGAGAGGCACTGTAGATACATTGATGACCGTTACCGAATACGTGTCAAGCGCCGAATGAGTGAACGTCGATGAGACCCATGCATGCCAACCAGTGTCAACCATAAGAAGCGGAGCAAAATGGCTCTGGAGATAGTGGTGACTGTCTAGCGGATAAATAGGTTTCCTACAAAACGTCACACATGCCGAACGAAGGCACCATACCGGGGTGGGCGTTACCCCACCATAAGGGAATTTCGTCTTTGGTGGAGAGTATTCGATGTGTTGGGTAAAGCTGTACACTGTCGAATGTTGCATGAACCTATTACATGTCACGGTGCCCTGCAACCCTGTGGGTCACACCTCAATCAAAGGCTAGAGGGGTGAACTCAAGAGAAATTGAAGTGGTTATGCGGACAACTTCGTGTACAAAATTTTCCCAAAAATATTCAGGAATAAGTCATACCCAAAATGTTGTGTTCTTACTCAGTGATGATACGGTGATTTGGGTAAGTGACATCCTGAGATGATAGAGAGGCTAGGGTGATCACTATTGGAAGTTAATTTGACAACGCCAGATGTCGGATGCTCACTGCGAGTAGACTTTTGGAAGCTAGACTTCAATGTAATGCAGTGCTCCACCTACCTTGATTGATAACACCGAAATCGGTTGCTCTGATAGAGCGAACTTCTGATCCAACCAGTATTTCATTTTTGTACGAACGATTCTCTGCAGCATACCGCAGGAACTACTTTATCCTTACGTATTGTATTTTCTTTTACATAGTCTTGATCGTATGATTTGCCGAAGTTTCCGGCCAAGCCGCAATCAGACCTACGAATGGCGGCAGATTCAAGTGCGTTTCCCCAATATTTATAGCGGATTGATACTACGGATAAAGATAATCTATATTAT